TTGAGAGATGATCATTTTCAAATAATAACACAAAAGATAGCAGAAACATAAAAAAGAGAAAAAAAAAGTAAGAAGCTGAATGCTACAGACATGTGCATCTAGACCATGAACCAGTGGTGGTAAAATTCACATTTCTTTCCTCGTTGTAATGTTAAAGTTATAAGGCAAATTGCGATTCCAAGTACAGGAATTAAATATTTCAAAATCAAGGAGCACAAGAACAGTGTACATTACACTTACAGGAAGTATCAATTCAACTGAACAATAATGAAGAACAAAGAAAAGGATCGATAATTCAAAAACAAACTGAGGTGGAACGAAGTAGAACGACAAAATTACCATGAAAACAGAAGCAATGTAATAATCTCCTTCATGATTCAAAAAAAAAAAAAAGATGCAACGATTAACCAAGGTGGAAATGTCCCAAGTTCTACTCGAATTTTAACTAAAGTTAACAGGCTCAGTTTGATTCCAAGTACTGGAATTAAATATGTCAAAATCAAGAGCACGAGATTGGTTGACGATGCACTAACTGAAAATATCAATTCAACTGAACAATAAGAACAATAGTGAAGAACAAAGAAGAAGAGTCAATAGCTAAAGAAAACTGATCCCGAACGAGGTAGAACGGGTAAAATTACCATGAAAACAGGGGCAATGTAATAGTCTCCTTGAAGGTGCTCGAACGATCTAGTGACCTTCTGGCGGTAATCAAACACAATGTCCGCTACAAAGAAAATCAACACGAAAACGAAAACATTAACAAAACTGAAACCATAACCACAAAATGAAAAGGAAAAAACAGTGATAAATCGGACACTTACAGTCTCTGCCAAGGAAGTTCCCGGCGAAGAGATCGTCGATGACGCCAGCTCTAGCTCCGACGGCGATGTTCATGTTATCTGCCTCGCTGCCAAGCCTATAGAGATAGTCCTTGCCCTCAGAGTCCTTGGCTTCCCAGGAAGATTTCTCCGACAGCCTCTTCGGCTTCTGCGAAGGCTCGCCGCCCCCGCCGTCGCCTTCACCGGAAACATCCTTGCAAGATCGAATGGAGAAGGAACGAATTCGGCTTTTTCGCGCGATAATTGAATTTTTGTAGTGAAAGAGTGAGGGAAGGGAGACGCCGGATATGGCGATAGCCATTTTTGTTCAGCCGAATTCCGCATTTTCGGATTTAAATATGATTTTTTTTTTCTTTTTCTCTCTCTTTAGTTGGATCGATTTATGGATTCGGTTTATGTGGTTTTTAACCGTTTTGTTGAGGCGGGGGGCTTGTTTGGACATCAGAGTTCACTAAACTCCACTGGAATAGCAAACCGAACAACTCCCTGGAATTTATTATTGACAAATGATTAAGCATTTTTTTTCTTCAAAAATCGATTTTAAAAACTATTTTCATAAATATCCATTCAAATTTTAAATAAAAAAAAAGTTTTTTTTTTTTGTTTTAAATTTTAAAGATATTCTTTAAATTTTTTAAAGTTTACCAGCACTATTAAAACTTTTAAAAGATTATGAGTATTTTTTTAGAAAAAAAATGTAAATTAGCTACAATTTTTTTTAATAAAAATACTTATTTAAGTTAAAATAAATACTTAATTTTTATGGGTTGAATTAATAAAGTAATTTACTTCAAAAATTAAACATAATATAACACATCCTTTTACTAAAATTTAGTTTAAATTAAATTAAATTCGTTTAAGAAATTAAATTAAAAACAAAATATGTTAAGAATGAGAAATATAAATAAATTAGAATGGAAGATATTGTATTCTCATTGATATTCATAAGCTTAAATAAAATACAAAATACAAGCCAGCAACTAATGCGTACAAATGAGAAAAATATAAAATAATTAAATATTAAAAATAAAATAAAATATACTATAAATCAAATTATAAATAAAAAATATTAAAATATAATATCTAAGATATATTTATAATATATACTCTAAATATTATATCTCAATCAATAAAATAACGAAGCTCACGAAGCCGCACTCCATAGATGTAATTCTAGAAACCAAACTAATGAAATAAGATCCAACGGCTCCAGCCCACCATTGATCATGGGTTAAGAGTTGGGCTAAATAATGGGTTTCAAACATAATTGTATAATTTATTTTTACTAAATAATGTTAAATAAATAATAATTATTTTCTTTAGGCCATATAGTTAATAAGCATTTGTGCATATATCATATATAATTTTCATTTATTATGGTATTGAATAATACTTATAATTATTTTAAAATGAAGAATAAATTTAAATTAGTTGGACTCAATCTAATCTCATTTTACGGAAAATGAACCAATTCATAAAATTTTTTATTTATTTGATTCAATTCAACTAAATAAAATCATAATTCAATCCATACCATACAAATCTCTCTTGCCGAACGTCGTTCTTGTCAATGTTGTATATCTTTTTTCAGCCTATTCAAGTCCAAACCATTAGGATCCCTTGGTGGTTCTAACCAAGGAGCACATAGATCCCAAAAACGCAGTCTCTCCCTCAAAAATGACTTCTCCAACCGGAGAACGCATTAGATATTTACCTAAACCAGTAGGTCCTTAAGCAGACACAACATTAGCTCCAAGACTTTGGTCTCTAACTAGAAACGTAAATGCTTGAGCTTGAGAAGCTTCAAGTCCAGTCCGCGTTTTGTTTTTTCATTATCATTATTTTGTTTAAATATTTAAAAATAATAATAATAAATAAAGAATGGCCCGTAACGTTCACTTAGTTGGCCATATGTGGGGAACTTTGAGTGGCTCATATTTTAGTGGGAAAATACTAAATAAATTTTTTTAAAAATAATTCCTATACTTTTGCCGACCACGGAGACTAATTTGGTGGGATGGGTGTTGGTCTTTTGAGTGAAATTTTGGATAAAAGTAGGGGTGGATTTGAAAATATCATAACAAGTGGGTAATATTGATCAACCAAAGGGGTCAAATTATAATATTACAAAAAAAACGGGGTAACTTTAGGTTTGTAGAAAAATAATTATTATTTTCTACACTTGGAATATTTTAATTGGTCTACCTTATATCTATATTTTAAAAATCTCAATTTTGTCTTTTCTACCACTACCTAAATCTTCCAAATATATTTTGACATCTTTTTAAAATAATATTTTTAGTTTATGTTTTTTAATAAATTTGAAAAAAGATATTTATTTTGGGTATTTTCTATTTTTAGATATTATTATTATTATTATTAGTTTGTCAAATTAGATAAAAATTAAGTTTTCAAACGACAATGACTGAAATAAAAAGAATACTCAAGTAGGATCATATTTTATCGTGTCATTTTTCTCTTTAAATTAAAATTATTTGAGAATTTATATATGAATTGTTTGAGTTTTATTTATTTTTTACATTTTTTTAATAAAAAATTTAAAAAGATGGCATAAAAATATTTTCTTTGGGAGATTATTTTGAATTGAAGCACGCCTATGTCTCTAAACCCCATTTGTACCTCGAAAGTGCTTTATTAACGATAATTGAATGTGTTTTCTTAACTTTTAGATAAACTCCAAAGATGTTCTCAATTTCATTGTTTCACTAATCCAAATTATAATAAGAAAAGTATTATTGGCAGTATAAGTTTTAGAAACTTATACTCAATCATTGATTTCAAAAAAAAAAAAAATTGAGATTTTTTTAATGATGATATTAACGTCTATTTTACACGTGAAAACGGAATCTAGAAATTTTTAGCCACCAAAATAAATAAATGTAATCGTTAGTTTATATGCATAAAAATATTTGCATACTTGATTTGAAAAATAGCTTAGAACTTGTCAACTATGGCTATATATATATATATTATAGAAAAGGTAAAAAAGAAAAAAAATGCAAGTCAAAAGAAAATGTTTTGAATATATAAGATGGAATGATGCAAACCATTATTCAGTATTACATTATAATTCCCATAAAAATCTAATACAAATTGGGTGAAAATGAATAGCAATCGAAAAAAAATGAATATTTTTTATATTTTAATAGAATTCTTATTACTACCAACATATCAAGAATCATAATTTTCAGAAAATAAAATTATATTTCAAAAAGGAAGTAATTTATATTTTCTCTTAATTATATTTGATTAGGGAAAAAATTGCAGAGAAAAAAAAAATATTTATTTACATTAAAAAAAAAAAAACTATGTAAGATTGAATATTTCTACTCGTAGTCACATCCAGCTACCTCACCGGAAGATCGTCCAAAATTTTAAGTCATCTCACTCAAAGGTCGTACAAAGGTTCAATTCGAAAGCAAATCTAATCTTTACTTTCTGTACTTAATTCTCGACTTTTTCTATTCTCTATGTACTATCGTAAAATGTCATATACCTAAATTCGAAATATCGACATCTATGTATCTCTATTCTTCCTTCAAAATTCCATTTTCAACTTTTTTATAAAGTGCTAGAGATTCGAAAATAAATTATAGACATTCTCTTAAAGATATGATTTTTTTTCTAACCTTTTTCAAAAGACCAAGTAACTAAAAAACCATATCCTTGTAGTTGTCAGGCCATGGAATTCATTCCCTTAAAAACATAAGAAAACATACCCACCACTAATGAACATACTTATCAAATAACATAATTAATACTTTACCCAAACACCTTCCATCTCATAAAGGTTACCACCACATTCCTCTTTCAAAAAAGGAGGGAATTTCAAAACTAAAGAAGAAACAGAACCCATTACAAATTTTAAATTGTAAATTTCTTTTGAAAAGTAATATTTTTTTTTTAGAAATTAGAATAGAATTCGACTCAAAGTTTGCTTGAAAAATAGATTTCTATATCATAGACATTTAAACCCAATTTAAATTACTAATTTATTTTAAAAAATGACTACAGAAAAACATTTTTTTTAAATCATTTCAAATAATATAGCATCATATTTAATCTAGATCCACAATATGATAATTAAAATGAACAAAAAAAAATGAGGGGTTTTTTTTTAAAGATAATGAGGTAAATAAATTTTGATTAAGGAATTACAAGCAATGTATGAGATAAATGGGATGGTTGCTATCTTGAGGCATAGTTTATATATTTGCCAAAATTCAAAGGTGGAGTTTGAGTGGCAGATAGGAGAGGCAAAGGCAATATACTATGCTCAAAGGGAAGGATTTTGACTTCATGAGGGCCCCAACAATCCAACAGACATATTCTTTAGGTCACATCCCTGGTTACCAATTGAACCAAAATTAAAGTGTCTCCCATTAATGAATGGAATCCTTCTACCCATTTCGTTACCTATTCTGCCCTCGCTATCTTTTTTTTATTACCAAATTATCATTCTAATCCTGGTACAATTAACCATACATACACATCGAACTATATAGATATGAGTATCAAATGTTTTATATGACGTTTTTTCTTCTAAACGGTGACAGAAACAATGAACTAATATATGAAGAAAACATGATATATCAGAATATCTATTAAAAACTAAAACAATCGATGAAATATAGTAACACGTGACTTTGGTGTGCTTTAGGACTTTTCCAGTTTTACCCTACCAATAAAATTCCACTTGGTTAAACCCTTTCGTCTTGAAGTCTTTGAACCATTCCCATGTTGTTAGATTCCTTAGTTCCACTTCTTTCTAGTTCCTCATTTGGTAATCCAATCAATGGCCACAGAAAAATTGTTGAAGAATCTGTAACCATTCCTTTGTTAAAAATTATTCTGAGCTAACACTATTTTCAACTCCTAAAGCTATATTCCTTCTTTTTTAATTTGGTTTCTTTTTGTTTACTGTTGATCCAAAAATCTAAGGAGGAGGATGGGGATAGAGAGCTATTGGGTTTAAAGAAAATTCAACCTATAATTGATGATTATATCTCTACTTGTCAATTAATTTATTGGAAGGAATTAGTTTTAAAGACTCAAAAATCAAAATTTGATACCAATAGTAGTTATAGTTTGTCAATTACATCTTTTAAAGCGAGGGATGAAGTTTTATATGAACCATCATTCAAAATTCTTGCACTATCTCTTACGTAAAATGCAACTTCAAATCTTATTTCGATGATGATTTTAGTTATTTTAAAAGGGTAAGATAATTGTGTGGTTTAGTAAAAGGTATTTTTGAGTTATACAAAGAGTGTAATTTTTTAATATAAGATATTTGTAACTTAATCTTACAAAAATATTATCTATTTTTTTAGTGTAAGATATGTGCATGACTTAATGTGATTGGAGATTTTAGATTATTACAAGTGGGGCAAGATTTTATTGGAGAATTTCAATTTTGTAAATACACTTGTGAGTATATGTTTCTTTTCACATATGGATTCAAGGATATTTTTTGGGAAAGATGACCATTGTTAATTTCAAATCATATCTTTTTAGATTTTTAGATTTTACAGTATTAGATGAACTTTAACTGATTTCGATCATCATTTAAAATGTGTAATGGATTTGATATACACTAAAATTTCTTTGGTAAATTTTAATTAATTTAACTTTACTTTTTTTTTTGTAATGTTTGATGGGGGTATTTTAGTCTTTCTACAGTGGAAAGATTCCAAGTGTTGCCTTTTGGCCATTTGTACAATTAAAAAGATTTTTGGGCTTTTTCAAACGCCTATTCAATTCTGTCAACTCTTGCCGTTACCCTTCCCCTTTCTTCAACCCCAAAATTGGAAGTTCCAAGTGAGATGGAAAATGAAATGAATCGTCACTTATGATGTTTTTGTTTTTTCTATTTTCAATTTTTTATTTCCTACTTTCTATTTCTTACTTTTTAACTATTTGGGGAGAAATATATGCAAAAAAAAAAAAAAAAAAAAAATGAAATAA